TTGACCAGCAGTTTAAAAAGAAAGACTTTCACAGAAAATACTCTTTCGATTTAACAAAAGCAGATGACATCTTTGATCATTTGCTCGCGGCTAATTTCCTTAAGTTGCCCAAAGGAGTAAAACTACCATCTCCAGATGAACTGAAAGGAAAATTATACTGTAAATGGCATAATTCTTGGTCTCACTCGACTAAAAACTGCATTGTTTTTCGAAACAGGATCCAGGAGCAGATTCGGAAAGGAAGTCTGAAATTCCCAACCAAAACAGAAAAGATCATCATTATTACTGTTATTTCTCTTAATTTCTCCTAAGTCAAGCCACCAGTAAAAGTCCTCTTCATTGAGGCTGAAAAGAACTAAAACACAATCGTCTGATAATTGGTTGGCAATCACAATTTCTGTAAGGACTGATTGATCCTTGCTGGCACGCTTACATTTACAAAAATACCCTTCGAAAAGCCAAAAAGCCAACAAATGTCCAGTCCTTTTTCTTACACATGCCATCTGGGTTATCGCATAATGGTTTGTGGAGCATCGTGTTCTCTAATGTGTTTGTCATGGTTCATCTCCTAGTAACAGAGCATTATCCAAAAGGAATTTTAAGCCAATTTTAGACATAGGATAACCTTGTTAAAACTTTGTCCAAGATAAGTTGTGCCATCAAAACAAGATGTCTGAGGCCACTCAATAATGTCTATTTAAGCTTAAATGTTTTACCTTTGGCAAGCCGCAGGAGGTGGTAATTTTTACTGTTGGTGGGACAACCTATGAGGAGTCACGTTCTGTTGCTCTACAAAATGCTACCAATTCTGGAATTCGCTTCATACTTGGTGGTTCGATGGTTCTCAATTCTAAGAGGTCTGTTTGCGAGCCACATTGTGCTTTTTACATAGATAAAATTCAGAGAGGCTGAACAAAAAATTGCTATCACTAGAAATGACAATTTAATTCAAGTAGGGTCTTTGATTGGGATATGGTGCAGTCTGTTGCTTATTGGATTCTCTTCAACCATTACCATAAGCCGTGTGCCCACACAATTTAGTGTTTTTTTTTTTTCCCCTGACAGTGGGTTCCATCAAAAAAAAAAAAAAAAAAAAAAAAAATAAAACAAAAAAATCATAAGACTAGCACTAGTTTCGTTTGATTTGAAGTATTAATCCTACCAGACTAGCACCTCTTAGAAGATTTGTAGAGAAGTGGATTCGTCTTCATATTTGTTTTTATTTTTGTTTGATTGGAATTGGAGTAAAAAGCGGAGTTTGAGGAGGCAAGGCTTAAACAGAGTGAATCAGAGGATTAAGCCTATATCCGAGCCAGATTTTGTGTCTGGATCTATGCTGAATGGAAATTTTAGGCCTGAAAACAAAAGGTGTGTAATTTCATTAGTTGAAGGACCATCATTCTTGTATACCTTACTGATGTATATTGTAATTATTTCAATTGTGATTTTTTAAATGAACATAGCTGACCCCAAAAACAATTTTTGTAATGGATTACTTTTTTTTGCAAAGTTTTACACATTGCATATAAGCAATTGGCTTCTGCACTTTTTGTTCATTGCTTAATAAATCGATATGAATGGTTGATCAAGACAACGGTATTTGTAGGCATTGCCCAGCTAGTGTCTTTCTCTGTTGTCATTGTCTTACATTTGTGTTAGTGTTTAGAGGATAATACCAAGTTTAACCATTTGTGATTTGGTAGAGCACATGGTATTGCTTATTGGTATGCAATATTTTTTTTTTTGTCTTTTTGGGTCTTCGTGCCTCCATTAATAAATGGATTGTGTTAGGAATATGGAAAGTTCCAAACAGAGAGTTGCCGTTTGGCAAATGATTGTTTTTTTAGTTGGTTTTTAGTTAGTTTTTTTTTTTATTTTTTAGTTTGTTTGATCCACAAAATTAAAGCGGGGTGATTTAAGTAGAGAAGTGTGTCTGGAGTACTGTGCGATAAACGAGTACACATTAGACTAAAAAGGAAGTTCTATAGAGCAGTTATTAGACTAGCGATGTTGTATGGGACAAAATGTTAGGCAACTAAGAAATAACATGTAGATAAGATAAGTATTGCTGAGATGAGAATACTAAGGTAGATGTGTGGCAAGATTAAAAAAAATAGAGTTAGGAATTAATATATTTGAGAATGGGTAGGAGTAATATCGATAGAAGATAAGTTGAGAGAGAATAGATTGAGATGCTTTGGTCATATATAATGGAGACCAATAGAGACAGTAGTGAAGAAATACAATACAGTGATGGTAGATGGTAGATGGTAGTATTAGCGGAAGGGGTAGACCTAAATTGACGTGGATTAATGTAGTAAATAGAGATATGAATATTCTTAATTTGACTAATGAAATGACCTTGGATATAGTCGAGTAAAGAAGAAGGATTTATGCAGTTGACCCTATTTAATGAGATTTAAGACTTGGTTTGGTTTGATTTAGTTTTTTGGTTTTTTTGACTTTTGTGAGAGAAAAAGTAAGATGATTATGATTTAGACGTAACATTTTGTTTTAGCCTCGTTTGGGAACAAACTATTTTAATAACTTTTTAACTTTTTACGAAAAGATGTACAGAAAAATAAAAAGAGCGACGTGACAATTTATAGTGATTTTTTAACTTTTTGAATAAAATTAAAAGTTGCCAAACAAGGCAAGCTTATTTTATCTTTTGTGTTATTTTAGCCAAAAAGCTAAAACCAAACAACTCCAGAATATACGAATATAAGATAAAAATTGTTCGCATTTATAATTTCTAACTATAGATGCAAACATGTGTCACATTTGTGTATTTTATATTTGAAACTTTCTGTGTTTCTCGACTTTTCCTTAATAAATTCAAGGTTGCAAATGTCTATCCAAGATAATCAAACTTATAACTGCAGGTCTCGTTTGATTCTCTTTTGAAATTATAATTCTAATAAAAAAATTTTAATTTTTTTTTTTAAAATTCATAACCAAACATACAACTTAAAACTTGATTCAAAAACTATTTTTAAAATTCATAACCAAACATACAACTCAAAATTCAATTCAAAACTCATAACCAAACTTTCTTCAAAACTCTATTTTAAAAAAAAAAAATTCAAAAAACAATTTTTTATTTTTTTAAAAATCATTTTTAGAATCATGATTTGTTTGTGGAGTTATATTTTGAGTTATGAGTTGTATTTTTTAATGTACACTGTATTTCATACAATTATGCGCTATATATTTTTTAAATATTTGAGTTGTATTTTTTTAAATATTTAAAAATTTTAAAAAATTATGTTTTATTTTATTTAAAAAATATTTTTTTTATTTTTTATTTTTTTAATATTTTAATTTTTAATTTTTTTTTTACTTTTTTCAAATATTTATTTTTTTTTAAACTTAAAAAAAAATTGGATCACCATAGATATCTAAATCATAACAAATTATTTGGCTAATACTTTAAAAAATAACAAAAATTATTTTTTGAAAAAATAAAAAAATATATATTTGAAAATAATATTTTTTTCAAAAAATAAAGAATAAAAAATAATTTTAAAGAACAAAATAAAATTTATTTTTTTGAATTTTTATTTAATAGAATTTTGAAAAGAGTTTTTCAATTGAGTTTTTGGTTATGAGTTTGGTTATGAGTTTTGAAAATAGTTTTTGAATTGAGTTTTGAGTTATGTGTTTGATTATGATTTGAGTGTGGAATTGTGTTTTGAATTTAAAATATTAAATAAAATATTTAAAATAAAAAAGTATTCAAAATAAAAATTTTTTTAAATATT